TATATTTTTAATTAATTTTAATATTTTAATTATTTAATTATTTTATTAGTTTATTATTTTATTATTTTATTATTTTATTATTTTAAAACAAAAATTTTTTTTTTTTTTAATTTAATTTATTTTATTTTTAAAATAAAATAAAAAATTACATTTACTTTTCATTTATTTTAATATTTTTATTGTTTTTTGTTATTTTCATTTTTAAAAAAGGAAAAAAAAAGGTTTAAAGTTATTTATCTACTTACTTAGTTGTCAGACTCATGTTGAACAGGGATTTACTCTGATAACAACTTAATGGTTTGGACACAGACCTGTGGGTTACAGATGCTAATGCTAATGCTCGTGTGGGATCGGACTTTTTATTTTTTTAGCAAATATCGGGGGCCGATCCTATCCAGATATCGGATCGGGACCAGCCTACTCCATCGTGCTCGTTTTTCCCACCTCGTTCAAATAGTTAAAAACCTTCCCGCTTCTTTCCAAAGCTTCTTTTGTTGACGTCGGCGGAAAGTGCCCACGTCTTAAGGCAAGCTGGCAAAGAAATTCTTTAGAACTTTCTAAACAAAAGTCTGACGACACGTATTCTAAGTACTCAGTTAACTCATTGACTGCCAGCCATTTTCAGAACAGAGTCCCATACTGCCAGAGTTTTTGGAGCATTTTGACTGATTTTTCAAGAGCCACAGAATAATTTGTGCTATGACTAAAAAAAATTTGTTTCTACCTTATTCCGTTCTTCCTCGACTTGCGTCTCACCGGCGCCATTTCTCGCAAAGCGAACCATTGTTTTTTTTTTTTATTTGCCTACAATCTATGCTCATCTCCCATCAAAAGTGGCACTGCCCCCTAGAGGGTCAATTTGTTACTACATACTCTGTCTAGAAGCCGATATTTACGGACAAGCTTTAGCAGATCGCCCCCCAAGCCACTCTCGTTGAAAAACATCAAAGACGTCTATAGACGTCTTTGGCAGCCAATGAGTTAAGAGGCTTTGGTCGTTTTCCCTCCTGTCCCTGCAGGGCTCGGTGTGGCAGCGCCTGGGGTCAAAGGTCACGGCGGTGGAGTTCCTGGGCCACGTGGGCGGCATGGGCATCGACATGGAGATGTCCAAGAACTTCCAGCGCATCCTGCAGAAGCAGGGCCTCAAGTTCAAGCTGGGAACCAAAGTGATGGGAGCCAGCCGGAGACCCGACGGGAAGATAGACGTGGCGTGAGTCCCACCCCGGGCATTAAAGATGGATGGATAGATAGATAGATAGATAGATAGATAGATAGATAGATAGATAGAT